GGGGGCTAACCTCGACTCATCCGCATGCATTCTGCATGCAGGCCACGCCGGGGCGTGGAAAGGCCCGTTGGTCCATGTTTGGTCGTGTTGTGATGCCGGCGGGCTGAATTTCAGCATGCTGAGCCTGCTTTTCCCAAGAGGGCAAGCATGGAGCTTGTGGAAGTCATCTTAAGTAAGTCTATTGCGTCCAGTGAGCTCAAAAGGTACCGGCACCAATCCCGAGTGTTGCTTAATGAATGATACAGGGTACATGTGGATCATCTTTCCCCGCTCTGGCATGATGAAACCGGTGTTTGCGCAACCTACTCAGCTGACCCAACATGAGGCAGTTTCGCTCTCCTAAGCGTGTCCCAAGCCCGAACCACATCCACATGTTCCGTGAACCGCGATGCCCAATCCCACGCTCAGCAGGGAGGTTCATCGCCAGCTCTTGAACCTCCGCACCGTCTCGGGCCCTAATGGCAAGTGCCACACAGATTGGTGTGGGTTTGGGGTTGAAAAAAGAGGAGCCACCCTTGTTTACACATCACAAAGGATGCCCACTAGGATGCCCCATAAATGCACCTAAATGTGTCACAAAGAAAACCAGAATGCAACGGAACAGCAATGACATGAAGTAACAATACCTTCCGTGAAACAATCATGGAAGTATTATGAAGTATTCAGTAATTCAAACAACCCTGGAAAGATCAATCTTCCTCTACAAACAGGCGAATGTCCACTTAGCACTAATGACCCTTGCGCTTGTCACGCTTGACTACTGGGAGCCCACGTGTCATCTCTCTCCGTGTCATCTCCGTGCCGTGCCTTTTCGGGCTGTGCCACGTGTCGTCACATCCCTTGTTCCTGTACGACCGCCTCAAGGGATGCACCAGCGACAGAAGAAGCTATACAGTGGTTTCAGAGGTTCGATGGCACTGGCACCCCTACATGATATTTAGATGGGGGTCCATATAAATCACCGAGCTTGGGGGATTGTGCCATCTACTCTGAACCCACTGTAAGTACTTCAAGGAAGTCTTGAAGTACTTACAGCACGAAGTTCAAGGAAGTCTTGAACCTGTCTTGTGTCACTCGTCCAAATCAAGTGCACGTGCAAATATGTAGTGACATTCGGTTGCAAGATTCGAGCAGCTGTCCAAATTCAGGAGTTCGAGCGCATCCCCAAACGCTCATACCCTAAGCGCTCGACCCCTGAAGACATCAAAGCCATCATGGCAGTCACCATGCCAGCAAACATCATACCTACGAGCGCAGGGCGCAGGTTTGCCTGACCATGGTTTGTTTCAAAAGAGATGTAACTATACCCAACAGAGCCCCTGTCAGGTCTTGCTGCTTATGCCTGCAAAGTGGTTGGAAAGTGCACGCAATCTTACTACAGTATGTTGACTCAACGTTGATACACGAACTCCTCAACCACTTCAAAGGCAAAGAAAACCTACAATATCCTAGAACCCTCATTTCATACTCAGACTGTCCAAAAACTCTTGGTGTGTGGTCAGCAGCAACATGGTTGACCATGTTTGACCCACATCACAGCCACTGGCAAACCACCCGCTGTGGTATGTTTTACTGAGCTGATTCCGTCGTGCCACCAGTGAAGCCACCCGACGCAGGTGCGGCTACATGCGGCTGCAAATCCCAAACCTTTTGCCACATGTGACTGTGTATATTTTATGTGCACAAATATTTGCAGTCATATATATATATATATATAGCACCCTAAGCAGCAACAGAAACCTTTGCTTTTAACAGGGTCAGTGAAAAAACACAATGTTTTCGCTGCAAACCTGATGTTTTGGAAGAGGGAAATTCCCGTTACCAAGTACTAAATTACGTTGTGGAGTCTGGGCCTCAGGCACGAATTTGTTCTCAGGCACACTAATATTATGGACACCCATTCAGGGCCTTGATTCATCAGCAAGATTCGACTATTTTAGAATACCAAGACTCAAAGGCTTTGACAAAAACCGATGTATTTCAGGATTTCTGTGAACTCTGGATGTTTTATTATGTTCAACCATGTTCAACCCTTTTACAACAGATTTTGGATGATTTTGGTCTTTAGGATTCAAGATTGGTTTTTAGTTTCGAGAACACATGAGACTCAAATGAGCATCAATGAGGCCAATATCTCCCGTAACCGAGCTACGTCTTCCTGCCCGTCTGGCCTATGTTGGCCAGGAAGCAGGGCATATTGGCCCGTACGATGCCTCGCGTTCGCGCTGTCGCGGGGGAACATGTCAGAAGCGTCGCTCCGTCGGCGGTTTCCGTTGACCATCGACCGTCGTCTCTTTGCGTTGAGACGAAGAAGCGTCATGGGAATCATTAGACCTGCCAGCTGTCGTGCGGCACCAGATGCCGGTTCAGAACGATCCAACCAGGTTCGTGTTGCATGAGCACATCTCACATTGGTTTGCCATGAGATGCCATGAATCAGGGACCCCGGCAAAACAAAAGGGTCTTCCATTCCATTTGGAGACGGAGGGTTTGATGTGGTCTTCTTTGCCATCCAGCTTCACTAAACAAGCGAAACCGTCACAGTCCTCATCACCCAGTTCACCTATCATCACCGGAATGCGCAACAAGGGGGTCTCTATACTAGGGTAGTCCTGGAACCCTTCAAACCTTCAAAGCTTGACCACACATCTCTCACTTCCACTCCAAACACAGCTCCCGGAGTCAGCTGAGCAGCATCTGCCAAAAACACCACAGTGGTGGTCGAAGCCAGTGACCTCACATCACCGCCCGTGGGTGCGGCCTCTCTTCGCGGATCTTCGCGCACCACGGGTGTTGTGACCGGGGCGATCGAGGGATTTCAGTCAGGCCGACAAGGTCCACTCACTTGGACTGTGGATCTAGTGCTCTGGACCTGGCTGGCTGGATTGGTTGTGATGTCCGCATCCAAACATGTCCCTCTTCATGGACTGCCAGGGTGTAACGAACTCTCACCACCGGTGACGGCGGGTTCCCGGCACGGCTTTAAGGCTTAAGTCTCCGGGCACAGCGCTGGCAAACGTTGCAGTGGTGCACCTTGCCAGCCTTGGTGCGCTGAGGGTCAAAGCCAAAGCGCTGTCGACACAGCTGTGCCGCCTGTGCCTCGCAAATAAGACACAGAATGCACAGGTCGTGATCTACTGTTGCTTTACAAGGGTGCTTAAAAGGTGGGAAAAGCCTTCATCTCTGGACATTGTTTGAACAATGTTTTCGGGACCATTTCGCGATGTGTCGCGGGTTTTAACAGGCCAATCGAAGCTGCCCCCCTTGAAGTGTTCCGACCAAAACACTTCATTCAACGCATCACCCCGCTGTTATTTGTACTTCCAAATGTACTACACCGATATATACTGACGCATATATAGTTATGTAACGAATGTATGCATGGATGTGCTTTGTTGTGCTGTTCTGCTTTGAAATGGTCTCTGCAGGTGTGAATTGCATTGAAGAACACTGCCAATAATCAATCAAATGTTGGCACAATACATGCAAAACGATTTCATGCCAAGAACAGCTTCACGTGCCTGTCGGACCCTATGCTGTCCGGCGTAAAATGCAAACATCTGTGTCATTCAGCCAAATCAGCTGTTGACACAAAACATTTGGCCCTCCTGGTCTGGAAGGTCTCCAAAAACCACTAGAGGCAAGGACGCTACTAGGGGCTCCTGGCCTTACTACTAGTAACAGGAAGGCTACTACAGGAGCAAAGGGCATCGCTACGAACGGAGCAAGGACGCTACTAGTACTGCTCAGCTGTCCGGTGTCGCAACCTAATGCGGTTCTGGCCCAGCGGCATTGCGCGGTCTCCACAAGCAACACCGCACCTGGGGTCCGATGCACGCAGGCTTTGGTGTATGGTCAGCTGGAGCAATTGATGAGAACACCCGACAGAGCCGACAAAGGTCGAGGCCAAAACCTGCATGGAAATAAGATCTACAAACCGGGCTCGTTCCTCTTCTATGGTGAAAAGAGAAGTGTATCGAACCTTCTCCCAAAAGGCTGGCTCAGGCCCAATGCTGGAAACAAGCCGCGCGCCCTCGCAGGAGAACGCAAGTGGGGCGTCCCTGCACAGTAGGAGTCGTGCATGGGATGGTCCTGCATATGCCGCGGCTGGGCATTTTGAGGCTTTCTCTTCAGAGTCTGTCCTGTGCATGCTCCAAGTCATGTCAGTAGGCCTAGAGCCTGAGCGACCTCCATTTTGGATCACCAATCACCCACAGTCTTTTCCTATCAGAACAGGGTCACATGATTGGGCTCTAGGGACATAGAATGGGCATAGTATGGGTGCGTTTTGTTTCCAAACTGTTTAGTAAGTCCAAAAATGTCCAGTCCAACATCCATGCAGGTCAAATCCCCCGCCTCCCAAACATTTGCGGTGTGTGGTGTGTGTGTGTGTTGCGCCATGTTGCGCTGCGGGTCCACAATTGTTGAACAAATATGAGGTTTGTGATGCGTATTGTACGTCAATCCTATCCAATGGATTCCAATGGGCCCCATCTCCTTGGCAAACATCTACTCAGCCTCAACGATCCTCAACTCAAATCTTCGTACTGGGCAGGGGTTTCTCCAGTCAAAGGAACCACTTCCCAGGACAAAGTAGAGGCGATTTGCAACGGATATGTTTTGACAGTGATGTCATCAGAGATATTCCCTTGCCAACTTGGGATGCCAGCTCCGCGGCTTCAGTTCTCACAGCTTCACCCTTCACCACTTGTCCCACGCCCGCGCTTGGCCCCTACGCCCAACCCCGCCTGGCCCGCGGGAATGTTCTTCAAGCCGTCCAGGGTCCGCTGCCTCAGACCCCCAGGGAAGCGGACCCTTGGAGCACCAGCAAGGTGTCCAGGCTCCGTCTGAGGCTCTGTCCGACCTGCCCAAAACTTAGCCGCGCTCTTTTGGGGTGAAGAGTCCGCATGACGAAGTAACTACATAAGAAAGGCAAATGGGTTTGTTATGGCTTGAGAATGTTCCACTTGCCTTAAGATGAAACTCGTCCATGACCTTCCAATGATCTGCTTGGAACTGGAGAAAGACATCAAGGGATTGCTCTAACTTGTCTCCTGCCTCATGTCGAGAAATCTCTAAATTCCTCGTGATATATTTCCTGTGCTCTGGTAGAATTAGAAGTTTGGTCTTCATCTGCAGCTTTATCTGCAAAGATTGCTACAAGGCTACTACTGGATAGAGCATCAGTTAAACAAAGCCTTCAAACATTGTTGCTGAGATCAAGTAGCTCTGTCCTTCTCGAAACAAGTTCATTAAGGATCATTAAGGATCATTAAGGCATATTGGGCCTCATCCCAACTCGAACTTGCCATAAGTCTGACGTAAAGCACTTGATCTGCCCAACGAAAAGGCAGTCAAACGAAAACAACAAGGAAGCCGAAAGGGTCAACCAAAAGACTCAACTGAAACCAGAAGAATCGCGTTATGATAGCCTTATGATGCCTTATGTCCTACGATTCTTCGCATCCTTTGTATCCCGGATCATGTTCTGGCTGTTGCTGGTGGTTCGGGACAAGATCCAGAACCGGAAACTGCAGCCGCTCTCATCCCATCCAAGCAGCTGCTTGATCAACGACTCCACTTCCGAAGGAATCGGGTAGCACCTGGGGTGACCGCTCCAACGTCGACCGACCGGTCTACCGGAGACCGGAGACGTCGTTTTGGACCGAGTGTAGAGAGACTGAAAGGGCGTAGCGATGGTCAGGAGATGCCTTACGTAGCCTTCTTGTTACTATCGTAGCGGTCAGGAGCCTAGCGTCCTTGCTCCTTAGTGATTCCGGTGCATGGTGAGCATTTCTCCTTGAGTTGTGTGATTCTAATGTGCCAACATGGACACTGGTCGACCCCTGCGGTGATACAGGACCATCGGACCATCGGAGACCCGCCCACTGACTGTCACTCTGAGCTCCGGGACGTCTTCTCGCTGCGCTGGACCACTCCGGCATTCCCAAAGAGTAAGTAGAGCGTACTGAGCACGGCCACCCCCGCCTGCGAGTGGTCCAGCGGTGCTTCACCGGTTCCACTTGGATCGTCTGAGTCTTCGTGAAGAAGCACGTGGGCCACGGGATGTGACACGGAAATCACGGACCGTGCTGAAGGACTTGGAGAAAAACGACAACCTGCCCACAAATGGTGGAGTTGAGTATGTAGAATTATGACTGCCTGAGTATCCAGTGTGGACCATATTAATAATAATATATGTGTCCAGCTGTTTCTGCTTCCGGACATCAAAGGATTTGTTCCACGGAATCGACCAGAAAAACCTCATGAAAACCTCGAAGATTCCCCAGCTGAATGGGGAATGAAAAAGGTTCATCCACCTGTGACCGCCATGGAAACCAAACAAGGACGAGCCAAGAGATCATCTGCCGAATCATCTGCGGTCTGATCTGCGAAGAGTTATATATTTATCTATTTGTTGTACATTACCGTATTTCGTTGGACGTTTGATGTGTGGAACTCTACATATTCTCCATCACTCTTCCCTGGGCGAGCTCCTCAACACGGATGCGGTTAGGGAAGAAGAAGAACCCTTTCAGGTGAACGCCCGTCGAATCCAACACTAGTGGGCCACCAAAAGACCTCCACGACCAGCGACAGGTCTGAGTGAGGACATACTAAAAAGCTTTATTGTTACTAGTGATGGCCTCCAACCTAGTAGCGATGACCTCCACCTAGTAGCTTCTAGTTACTAGAAAGCTTTAAAGACATACTAAAAACGCTCTATTTATTGTTACTAGTAGCGATGGCCTCCAACCCAATAGCGATGATGACCTGCAGTAGTCGCTTCTACTTTATACTAGAAAGCTACAAAGATATACTAAAAATTGCTTTATAGTTACTAGTAGCGATGGCCTCCAACCTAATAGCAATGACCTCCACCCCTAGTAGCTTTTAGTTACTAGAAAGATTCACTAAAATGCTTCTTGTCCCCCAAAAAACCTCCACTCGGGCTTCTGAAAGAGCCTCCGCCCAAATGAGCGTGAGGGCTATCTGGCCCAGACCGGTCACCTGGCTCGCGAAGTCTTTTTGGTTTATTGATGTTTATTGAAATGCTTGAAGCTTCACCATAGGTCCTGAAAAGCACGTAATTATCAGGGTTTAAGGCTATACTGCTCATCTTTCAGTTTGGCTGAACACTGATTACACGGACCCACAGGTTTAACGCTGCTTATCTTGCATCGGCACAAATTGTTGAACTCCCAAAGGAGTTGACCTCGAATCCCGAAACAGCTGTGGAAGGGTTGCACTACATTTGTGGCATGGAATGGGTCATGTTTCCTGCACAGCATGAACCAATGATATCTATAAACACCACCTCAGGATGGAATACATCCTGGAAGACGATGGACCCTGAAAACCACTGGTTGGTAGAGGAAAACACTCGGACCCAGGGGACCAGGACGTCAGGGTCTATGTGAGTTGACTCGGGAGTGTCGGGAGTGTAGTTACATGTGCCAATCGATCATCCACCGGTTCGAAGAAAAAAACACCATCCCCTCAAGACTCGTCAGACTGGCTGGGGTCGCCTCCGCCCCGGCGGTCGCCTCGAACGGGGGCGGAGCGGTGGCATCATGCAGATCGATGGTGCCGGGAATCGAGGACCGATGGATGGCGCGAGGGACTCCTGCAGGTCGGGGGAGTCCGGGTCGGGCGAGTCGAGTGCCCCGGTGGCCTTGGCCATCCCGTCATCGCCCAGTCTTCGGCTTCGACATGACCACGGTCCAAGCAGCCGTTCGTGTTGCCACATGAGGTGCCCCGGATGTCCCGCAAGGCCCAAAAGTCCAAGGCCTCCCCGTTCTGGTCTTCGAATCCCAAACTGCCGGTGGCCCAACATCTCTCGGCGCCCAACGCCGTAGGTCAGTGCGATGAGGATGGTGCTGAGCACCTAAACGGTCTTCGAGCCCAATTGTCTTTGGATCCGGCAACGGCTGGAGAAGAACATGCCCCTGACACTGGCATATGATTGACATTTCGTAGGGTTTCTTGGTCAATGAAGCCAATTGTAGGTATACCACTAGGTATACCATACATGTCTGGGATCTGTGAAGACCGATTGGTACCTTGTGGGTGGAGTGTGTGCGGTTGTATCACCGGGCGTCACAAAAGTCTCTCTCTCTCTCTCTCGCTCTCTTTGGAGGCAACGGCTGGCTACCATGCAGCCGTCGCACAGGGACACTCTGAGGATAAAGTTGTCTTGCAGGACCTGTGTACATCTCTATAGGACACAGCTCAGCTAAAAGGGGTTGAAGGTACAAGGGTGGCAAAACTTGCGCCTTGGGCAAGTGTGATGATGTCTGCATACTGACCGATTCAAAGTAATTACATCGTTTGCACAAGAAGGGTCATGAAAAATGTCATTGGAGGGGGTGACCTTCGGGGTTTTGATTGCTACCTTAGTTTTGAGAAACCTAAGGTCCGTCGTTGCAAGACGGGGAGCCACCATGGCGCCAGTACCTCTTCCATCGATCAAACTCTTCCACGAAACCAAACAAAGGTCAATCGCTGGTGTAGTGTAGTAAGGAATAAGCATGTGTATGTAGGCTTTTGATGCCGCACAGCAAAAACATTGCCTCCCCCCAAACACGGGGGAACCAATAACTCCCCACAATGAACCAAAAACAATGGTTCGCTTCGCTTCGCTCCGCCCGCTCCGTCGGTGAAAACACGGGAGCGTCCGGATGAAGGCCGAGCTACGCCCACCACGCAAATGCCCATGAAGGGCTCGGTCCAAAAGGCTTGTCCTCTCCTGGGCCTCAGTGAAGTTGGAGACCAAAATGGCCTCCAACATCCTCCAACCTACTAGCGATGGCCTCCACCCTAGTAGCAATGGCCTCCACCTCCACCCTAGCAGCAATGGGTGGAGTCCCTTACGGAGCCACATTGAGTTGGAGCCCCTTTCTTTTTCGAGGTGTCTGAGACATCAGTGGTGTGCTGAATGTAGAATGCTAAGTCACTGAGTACAACCACCAGCATCTGAGGTTTTTTAATCTTGCAGGTGCTGTTGGCTGGTGCCCAAGCAGTGATAACCCGGTTGAGCATTGAGGGTGTCATGGAGTGATACAAATTGTGGAGTGGACCCTGTGCTTTCATGCATGTTCCTGTGCTTTCCTCAGCATGTTCCTGAGATGTTCTACGAAGTCGTCCTTTCCAACATGTGGAACATCCCCTTTTCGGGTCTTTAGGGGGAGATAGAAGGCTGGAACGAGGCCCCAGGCCCCAAGGAACGATTGAACAACCCCTGCACCGAACACTCTGAAAGGCCTGTGTTGCCCCCTCGTCGGACCATGACCATCTATATATTTTTTTCTCTTCCAGGACTTAGCCCCTGACACAACAACCCAAAAACATCCAAAAACATTTTTGGATAGCTTTGGGGGATTCTGCTGCGGCTTCAGGCAACTATAACAACCACAAACATGGAAACCTGCACCCAGGAAATGTAGTCGTGGATGTGCCTGGTTGTGGCGGGGGAGATGCAGTTTGAACATGATGCGCCCAACAACTATCAACAAATACTTGAAGAAGCATCAACCCAAAAACCCTGCCTCCAAACCAACCTGGAGCATTCTGGGAGGATGTCGAAAGATCAAGCCGGAAAGGACCGGAACACGTCTGAGAGTGCCCGACAAATCTGGTAGGTCACTGATGTCGATGCTACTTTCGACGGCCTCAGAGGTCCCAGCGTCACAATGCGGGGATCCCAGCTGGAAAATCAATTAAAGGACCGGACAACCCCACATATGAATTTTTACGAATCTTAAGTTTCTAAAGCACAAAGCAGTCAGAGTCTCAATAGCTTCTATAACATGGCCTTGTCAGGAATTGTTATATCAGAATTGCACAACAGCGGGGTGGGAGAGAGGTGTGGGAGAGTAATGTGCACGGCGGATGTACGAGGTATTGCGCAGACATGTGTGTACAGCCACAACTAGCCGAAGTAAAACCCCATCGCGCTGCCGACGTAAAACTCTATAGCCAAGCTCTTTTTCATCGCGCAGACGAAAGCAGGTCGTGTGCGTGAACCTGGGCGTCGTCATGAGTATTACATGCAAAAGACGTCAAACCGTATGCAAAAGTGAAGACCAAAGATTTTGTTTGTCACTGTCAGCACATCATTTGCGCCTTGGAATCTATGTCACAGAGCTTTCCAATTGGGACGATGCCGTACCTGCGTATGGTCGAACGATGTTTCCAAGAACCGTGCAGCAGTCGATCGATATTCGCATAAAAGCACAACAGGACTGAACAAATAGAGACACAGCCAACTGCACAGGAAATGGCCCGCGTTTCATTTATGGTGGTTTTGACATTGAAAGCACACCGAAACTCCTTTGTTTCATCGCGCAGACGAAAGGCCTATTATCTGCAACAAGATGCAGGTGCGAAGTGGCATCTGCCCGGCAGTGCTTTCCAAATGGGATCGTATCTGCAAGAAGATGCTATGCCCATCTGCGTCACAGGTGCGAAGTGGCATCTGCCCTGCAGTGCTTTCCAAATGAGATCGTATCTGCAAGAAGATGCTATGCTCATCTGTGTCACAGATCTGCAACAAGATGCAAGTGCGAAGGGGCAGGGCTATTATCTGCAACAAAAGGCAGACAACCACCGACAACCGCAGACAACGCAACACCCACAGCCTCTAACGGAGCATGGAAGTTCACCAAGTGCCGCACCTCCCACGAATTCTGCACGTGGAGGTTCACAAAGTGCTGCGCC